TGAAAGTAGCAACTCCCCTCCCCCACCCTGGTCCCGCCCCCGTCCAGACGGTGAGTCTTCTAAAGTTGTCGCTCCGCCGACTGCCCTGGGCGCAGCACCTGGGGGTCTCCGCGCCTCGGTGTGCCGGTGGGGAAGGAAGTGACCTGGTCTTGCACTGAGGGAGGAAGGAAAGGGTGGCTTGAGGGACGGAGGCGGGATGTGTGAACTCCCGCGAAAGGCACCTTAGGGCAACCCCAGGCCATGAGAAAAGGAGGGGCCCAGCTCTTGCTTGGAAAGAATAAACTTGAAATTCTTGAGAAAGGCGCTGGGACGTGCAGAGACTGCGGGGGTAGGGAGCCGAGCCAGGGCTGGCCGTCGGAAGCATCGGGGATGTGGGCAGGACTGGTAGGTCAAGACCTGTCGGTTTCTGGTGGGACCCCAAAGAATTCTAATCTCAGAGGAAAGGGGCTGAGGTGTAAATAAGAGGAGCTGGAGAGAGGTGCTCCAGAGTCTGGGATTCTTCAAGAAAAGGAGGCCCAGATTCTTCCCAGATTGGAGGGCAAAGTGTGGGAGGAGGGAGAATACCAGAGGCAGGGAGGGAGAGCTTGGGTTACACTGACACTCTTTCTCCAGCTGACGTGAAGATGAGCAGCTCAGAGGAGGTGTCCTGGATTTCCTGGTTCTGTGGGCTCCGTGGCAATGAATTCTTCTGTGAAGTGAGTTCTCCTCAACCTCCCTCCTTATCTCCACATAGTGTCTGGCCAGACATTCTGCCACATATTCAGCTTTCACATACTTCTCTCACATACTTCCATAGAAACTTGTTCCTGTCAAGGAAGAGTTCCCTCAGTAACCCACCACTAACTTACTGCGAAGTGGGAAGACGGGCCCAGCCCCCCCCCAGCAGTGTAACATTGGACAAGTCAACCTGTGTCTTTTTCACTTTTTATTTTATTTTTATTTTTTAAATATGTGTTTATTGGTTTCAGAGAGGAAGGGAGACAGAAACATCATTGATGAGAGAGTCATTGATCAGCTGCCCCTACTGGGGATCCTGCAACTGGGGCATGTGCCTTGACCGGGAATCGAACCTGGAGCTCCTGGATCCTAGGTTGATGCTTGACCGCTGAGCCACACATGTATTTTTTTTATTAGTACAGTGGTAATGGTGGCATCTCTCTCTCGAAAAGCCAGTGTGGCTCGGTTGAGCATTGAAAGGTCGCTTGTTCGATTCCTGGTCAGGGCACATGCCCAGGTTACCTGTTCAATCCCTGGTCGGGGTATGTGCAGGAAGCTGACAATTGATGTTTCTTTCTCATTTTCTTCCTTCCTCCCTCCCTCCCTCGTTTCCCTCTCTCTCCTCCCCCCTGCCCCTTTCCCTCTTCCTAAAATCAATAAAAACCTATTTAGGTCCTGGCCAGGTAGCTCAGTTGTTTAGAGCATTGTCCTGATATGCCAAGGTTCCGGGTTCGATCCCCAGTCAGGGCACATACAATGAGCAACCAATGGTGCATGAATAAGTACAACAACAAATCGATGTTTCTCTCTCCCTTCCTCTCACCCTCTAAATAAGAACTTTTTAAAAATTAAAGAAACATAATATTTATTAAGTAAATGAAAGTATGTAGTTTTTGTTTTGTCTTTAAAGCCAAAGTTTTTATGGGAGGGTAGTGTATGTGAACTAGAGATAGAGACTCAAGTACTTGTGTTGAGTTGGGAGTGGGGAATAGAAGCAGTTGTGCAGAGGATAAGGCATCAGTTAGAGCAACTGGCTCAGGTCAAAGCCAAGAATTCTGCTATGAGTTCCCTCTTCACCTCCACATCCTGACAGGTGGATGAAGACTACATTCAGGACAAATTCAACCTCACTGGACTCAATGAGCAGGTGCCTCACTATCGACAAGCTCTAGACATGATCTTGGACCTGGAGCCTGGTGAGGCACCCTTGGGGTGGTTTTGTGTGTCTATGCTTTTTTTTTTTTTTTTTTTT